CGCAACGTTCAGTACCACTTGAAGTACAGCCGGAGCTTCTGCGCCTACGGCTCCCGGAGGACCAAATGACACCTTAAGGCGGCCGCTCACAAGGTGGTCCGGCAGTTTTCGAAATGTTCAACAGACTGCGGCATGTGATACTTGATAAAGGTTAGTAGAAAAAGGTGCGGTATGAAAGCGCTGTAAGAAATAACATCGGCTGAAGGTCCCACCGGTCGAAAGCGTCCATCCGCCCTCTGCCCCATCTGCTCGACCTTGACGACAAAACCTTGGAAAAATTCGATATTTTAGAAGATGGTATGTACGTTAAAAGAGGGAGGTCGTACTCTAACCATGCTTATTGCACTACGAAGAGCCGTGGTCCTCATAGACAACTCGCCAGCTGAATGATGACCATAAAAGCATCAAAATAGGTACAATGTAATGAATATGGTGTAATAGGTAGATATCGTCGCAATAAGACAAGGTGCTGCCAAGAGGGATGGATGAGCCTACCCGTGGCGTTTTCTATCACTGGCTGATTTCTTCCTGGATCGATCGCTAAGCGATTGCTATTGGTAGAAACCGCAGCCGGGGTCGAACTCATTCCACCCCTCCTGACACAGCCCCGATTGACTGCCACGATATCAATTATAAATGTTTCTTCCATTACGGGAACTTTAAAACAACAGGCTCGGAGTATTGTGAATCTGACAGAAATAGCCGTAGAAAACGCTTGATATTAATCTTTTTTGAATAATAAATAACAAAATTACAGATTCAGATACATTGCAGCTATGCCAAGCACCTTTGCAGCAAGCATATTTAATGAATAACGAATGTTGTTATTATAGGACGCCGATTTGCCTAACAATAAGGGAAACAAGCCACATCACACCGTTATTCATCGAATGGACGTCTGAAAACAACTGTTTCCAGTGCTCTGAAGGAAATAATACGCTACATATAACAGAATGTTCAGAAGATGTCAGCTGCATACATATTGATTCCTATTAAAGTACAATTATTTATTTTCAAACGTGAATCGATGTCAGCAAGATCCGCTTCACGTCGCAATTAATGGTTTCTAATTTGAACCCACCATTTATAATGAGGCCGTCAAGTTCTTCTAATGCCGAATTAAGCAGCTGGTTCGCCTCTGCGAAGCCATCCATCTTGAGAGGACCGGCCTAATGGAGATGTTATGCCTGAATAGTTGATCTATTGAGAAGAAAATCAACTTGATAATTCAATAATTTGACATAACGAAAAAGACATCATAGTTAGGGAACAGTGATAGT